ATCCAGAAGCTGAGGAAAAGTGCTACCTGCCTGCACTTACTCTTCAGTGTAGTTTGTATTTACATCACTTATATCAGAGCCTGGCTACAATTTTGCATGGACTTTTGCATGCTTTGTTGCTTTCACATTGGTCTCTGAACTGAAAACCCCTTCCTGTTACCACTGCTTGCCCTTTGCCTTGCCTGTGATATGGTGATGGTAATTTCTCTTTGAATAAATACACACCTGGGCAAGCCTATGAAACACTCCTGGGGTGCATTTCATTCCTCTTCCCGTCCACTGAAATATTTACACATCAAAGGGAGTCTCCTTATCTAATGGGAGTTTGATGTTCATTAAAGCAACACACAGTCAGTAATGAAGAGCGATGCCTTGCAGCCTGGGGTGGTCAGCAGGCATTGAGCTCCAACCCACACTGGCAGTGACAAGGGGCCTTCATCACCAGCTGCTGTCCTGAGAGGAGTACACAGGAGGGGCCCTGTTGGCCAAGAGGCTCTGCAGCAGTGCACAGGCCAGGAGACCTGCTGTGTCCCTTAAACATTCCCCTGGATCTGGGCCATTCTCTCTTCCAAATCAGCTGGGCTTTAGCTTTTTTAAGCACCTTAGCACCTTCTGAATCAGAGGCCAAAAGAACCCAGCTTCTAGAAAGCTGTAGGTAATGACCAAACAGTGTTTCACAGGCATCTTTGAAAAGACCAAGGAACCCACACCCTTAAAGTGAGGGCCCATTTCCACATTCTGTCCTCTGATCCCACTCACCACCTCCTCCACCCCGGAGACTGTAAAATAAACACCCCTCCTGCCCTGGTGCACAGTTATCATCTCCACAGGCAGCTCACACTGCACTTCATATCGGAGTGACTTACTCCAGAGGTGTTTGCATCTGCCTCCCCTCTGGCATGGCGGTACTACTCATCAGTCTATGGACACTCTATCCCCAATGCATCCTGTGGATGGGACACTCTATCCCCAATGCACACTGTGACTGCTGCAATGGCCTGGCTTTCATGTTCTCCTGCTGATTAAGTCAGGACAGTTCCCTCTGTTCCACCAGCTACAATGGAAACAGGACTTGAAGCTGCTGCAGAACTAGGTGGGCATGATCTACAACTCATCCAGGCCAAGAGAAGTCTCAAGAATTCTTCCAGGTCAATGTCAAGCACCCACTGCACCATCCTGCCACCACAGCTACCCCAAAAAGAGTGGCAGGGTACCCTGAGCCGGCCCGCAGCACCACCAGCCCTGGCACCAGGAGCATTTCTGCCAAGAGTGCTCCGTGGGCTGCAGATGTCCATGCAAAACAGGACACCAGGGTCCATACCCACCCTTCTGGCTTCTGTCTGATGTTTCTCCTTGGAGGGGAATAACACATGAGAGGCCCAAAAGTATGACATTCCCATAGACCCACGTGGCTCTGGCCAGCCAGCCAGAGCCCTCTAACCTCTCATTCCCCTTAGCCTCTCAATTAGTTCTTGCCTACGTGACAAGTTCACTCAACACCCTGAGCAATTAGAAGCCAGAAGGCATCAGCTTTGTCTCAAATGATGAGCCAGATTAATCAGCTCCAGTTGCACTGAATTACCCAGACGGGGCACACAGCAACAACCTCCAATTCAGCAGCAAAGCAGCCAGCATCCCGCTTTCACCCAGGATAATCAGCAAGGATGTGAAAGCCAGATGAATGACTAGGTGAGAGTGGGCTGCTGCCTGTCAGGAGCTGGAATATAAGTCAAAGCACTTTGAAATTAAATCCTCACTTTGACAGGGAACTAATGCAGAGATTTTAAAGTAGGTGTAGTAAAGTTAGACAGGCATATGTGCAGCCTAGCGCAAGTTGCCGTGCTTTGAATAAGTGTAGCTACAGGAGTTGAAAATACAAAGGGAATCTTGAATAGCTCCAAACCAGCTTGGCAAGATTTTAGAGATGATAGCAAGAGGTTTTAGTAATGGACCTAAGTAACAACATTGTCAAGATGAGATTTGGTGCACAGTTGTGGCTGCTTGGGATCTTGAATTTCACACCAAGCAGCCAGCTCATGTTGCTCCTGGCTTTAAATTAAGTCATTTGTGCCCATATGGATAGACAGAAGCATGGTGGATGGAGGAGAGATAGGGATCTCTACCACATCTCTTGGCCTTGGCGAGGTTAAGTTATGCTGTTAGGAACTCTTGGGATTTCCCAAGAGTCGATTTTTCCAGAGCTGAATTTAAGCCTTCATATTTGTTCAAGCATCACCCTCCATCTGCACATTCTAGAGCCTGCCACCAGCCCCTGTGTCTGGCAGCTCTCCACGGGGCAACCCTTACTGAGATGCCAAGAGGGTTTGCAAACTCATCCCTGTTCCATCTCCAAATGCTGTTCTCCTGATAGAATCCCCAGAGAGATACCCCAGATAGAACCCGCCCAGACCCCTCTCCTTAGCTGCAAATTTTCAAATGCACTTTGGCATTTACAGTGAATCCTCAGAAACTGGAATCTCGGAAATCACTCCAAGTCAAAGGGGTGCTTGTTGAAGAAGACAGCCTGGGCGATGGACTCCAGGCAGTGCCAGGACACCTCAGGACTCTGCTTCTTCACAGCCACCAGGAAATTACCCCAAAAACATAAAATGCGGAAACCCCCGCCCCTCCCCTCTGCGAGGTTCCCCCGTCTCTCCCCGCACCCAGAGAACCCATCCAGAGGTGTCGCTTTGTGGGTGCAGCAGCAAGGTGGGGGACGCTGGCGGATTCCCCGCTGCCCTCCACGTCGCCAGAGAAACTCACAATGCCCTCCCGGCCGGCGGAGCCCGCAGTGCCCTCTCCGGTGCCCTCCCCGCCCCCGGCCCGCCCCGGGGGTGTCCCCGGCAGTGAGTCCCGCCCAGGGAGCGGCGGAGCCGGGGCGGCCCCCGGGGCTGCCTCCGCCCCCGGCCCGCCTCCGGCTCCTCCGCTCCATCCCGGGACGGGCCGGCCGCGCTGACAGTCGGGCTCAGCGGCCGCCGCGGGAGCATCAGCCGGGCAGCCCCCGCCGCTCCTGCCCGCGCCCACCTGCGGCGGCGGCTGCCCTGGGCGCGGGGCGGCGGGGGCGCTGCCGCCGTCGGCTCCGCGCAGTCCCACCCCGCCTGCCCTTCAGGATGAGCCCGGAGTATTCTCTGCGCTCCTTGCTGCTCATCATCCTCGCCACCTTCTCGGCCAACGCCAGCAACTGGCTGTGAGTAGCCGCGGGGCGAGAGGGGGAACACGGACACGCCGCAACTTGTTGGTAGCCCCGGGGGCGTGGAGCAGGTGCCGCGGGGTTGGGCAGCACTGGGTGCGACCCCTTGCAGCGATGCTGCTCGGTCCCCGGCGGGGCATAGGGCGCCCGTCGCCATCGTGTCGGTCCTCTGTCCCCGCTGACCCTTGCCGCCGTGGCGGTGGTGTTGCAGCCCTCATCCGCAGGCAGGTGGGCGGCAGGGGATGCCGACTCTCCTAAGCCGCTCAGTGGCGGTGTGTTATCGCGTCTGATGAGAATGGGGCTGGTTATCTAGCCCCTGTCCCATTTTTTGTCCTTAAGTTATGAATCCGGATCACACCGGGATCACGGGTGGAGGTCGGGGCATCGGGTCGGAGTGGGGCCTGGGTGTTGGCGAGATGCCACGCGAGGGCCAGCGGTCCAGGGGAGGATTTGGTAGAGTTGGGGCGGCCAAACGTGCTGGGCCCGGGGATCTGCAGCGAGCAGGGCTGCCCACGCCTCGGCCCCCACTTCCCGGTAGGAGGACGGATGTCGGGGGGCTGTTGCACGGCGCAGAGGAGCCCGATGACATCGGGAACCCGCTGAACAAACACTGAAATAATGTGTAAGGTAAACAGGGGTGGAAATCGTTCTGGAAAATTCCTACGTGTTTGCCAAGGCGGTGGGACTACTTTCTGAAGAGGACACCCCTCCTTTCCCCCTTCCCGGGTCAGAGGGGATGGAGCATGACAGCACTTTCCCACCTAACTTTGAAAGAAGGCATCGGTTCTTCCTAATAAATCTACTTTGGTGGGAGATGGTGCTTCCCCTGCTGCCCCTGTTGCCGGCTGACGGGAGCTAATTAGTTCATGTGCACGCACCCGCTCTCCAGCTAGAAGCGTGGGCCGCCTCCATCTCACCTTCATGGATTTCTCTCGGCAGGGGCAAGTATACCACACAGGATAAGGAGTTCCCGGGGCTGTCAGCATGAAAGATCCTGAGTGTCGTGTATCCCAACACAGGTGCTCAGGTGGGCACACATCCCCTGTGCAAGGAATCCTCTCTTCATCCGGATACAGCTCCTGCCTTTACATTTTGACTCACTGGAGGCTGTGGGATGTAGGTGGTTTTTGGAGGATGCTCCCCAATGCCTGGGGAAAGTGCCAGGTCAGTGGCACTCTCCGAGTGTCCTGCCTGTGGGAAAAGGCGGCTGCCTGGGATGCGTTAGTGCCTAGTCCTTCTCCCCTCCTTCTTTGCCAGATGGAGCGACTTGCATGCCATACGTCTCTAGCAACTGGTGGGTGGATCACAGCAGCTATCAAGGTGGTCTTTTAAGCTGTCACGCTTCTGGTGAAGGTATATTGGGAACTGTGGGAGTGTTTTTCCTGCAGGAATAAAGTCCTGCCGAGGAAGCTCTGTGAGATGATGGCAGATCTCTGGAGAGGAGCAGCTTCGGCTGCCCTGGGACGGGCACGGCGGAAAGTGGGGATTTCATGAGTGAGGTCAGCAAGCTGCCCCGCACGGATGTGCAGAGGTGGGACTCCCCTCGGCCCCCGGCGCCGCACGCAGCTGGAATAGGATTTGGGAGGCGAGGCGGACTGGTGATTCGCCGCACTAGTCAGGGAGGGCTGTGTGCAGCCGTCCGTGCTGGCAGAGCAAGGGTGAGCGCGGGGGGCTCGGCAGCAAAGAGCGGAGGGCTCATTCCTGCCAACAGGGGAGGAAAAGCAGATACATTTCAGTGCGTTTCAAAGGAAGGGGGTCAGCTTTTTTTGATGTTGCAAATGTATCATGATAAAAGGATCGTCCCCCACTCAGTGCTTTTTATTCTTTGCCTTTAGGATTAAGACAATTCCCATTGTTTATCTTCTCACATCAGAAACAAAGGCTGCCGGAGGCAATAAACAGAGTTAGAAGGATCCCAGGAATTATCAGATATTCGAGGAATGAGTGTGCCTCGTATGTCTTCACGTGTGTGGGCTCGGCATGCTCGGCGTTATCCCAGGGCGCTGCCAGCTTGTGCCCAGCACACGGGATGGGTCCAGCCTCACCAGGCACATAGTTCTGCACAGAAGTGTGTGCACAGAATGGCAGCGTGCAGTGAAGTTTGCTTTTCCAGAAACCTGCTGGATTAGAGATTAAACTCAGTTGTGAGCTTTTTTTTCTCTCCCTCTAAAGCTTCTTTCGACCTGTACAGACTCGCATTCCCCCAGTGCTTTGGAGATACACTGCTTGCAATGCTTGAGCTAAAGGTTTCTGTAAGCCTGGCTTTGTGGGGAAAGCGCTTGTTTTGGCCATGCAATGAGCTGCCCCATCCAGTATAAAAAGGAGATGATGTAGGGATCTCTCAAAGGGATCACTCTGCTACACTGGCCATTGAGCTGGAAAGGATTTCCCAAATCTTTCCATTAAACAAACCAACCTAACTTTCTCCCTGGTTAGGAAGCAAACCTCAGGTGCTTTTTATCAGTGTTTTGATTCTGGGGAGTTGCTGCTTGCCTTGTTGCCAATCCAGAAAGCCTCTGTTCTTCAAATCTGAAGAAATGATCTGTTCCCACTTCTTGTGAAAGCCTCAGGCTTGCTCTTCCATCTGCCTTTGGAGGCTCTGATTTGCCTCCTACCTCTTCAGGCATAGGTCTGTAAATTAAATAAAGGGCTGTAGATAGAGCCTTTTACATCTTGTTGGCTGTGCACAGGAAGGTCCCTCTGACTTCTGCTTTATCTCTGAAGGAGTCCAGGGCCATGCTTTTTACAGGGGAAGCAGATGAGTTACTTTTCAAAGCAACTTGCACTTCATAGACTCTTGAACCCACATGTGCAGTGATGTGGATGAATTTGGAAGCAAGGCCTCTTCTGCTCCAAACTCATCCTGATGCTGAGGATGTTTCATAGAGACTTGTAGCCAAACAAGCATCATTCCACAGCTGGCACAGGAGTTGTCCAGTTGTTTAGCTAGTTAGTTAGTTAGTTATTCATTTCTTTACCTATTTTGGAGAGAAGGAAGTCCATGTGAAAAAGTGAACTAGAAAGTGTGGGTTATGGATGTAAGCATCCACTAAATGCATGGAGGCACTGGGGCCCACAGCCTTGCTCTCTAGCTGTTCAGAGGGTTTGAGTGATGAGAGAACAGAAGCAGAAAACATCAGATACGAAAGGGTAGGGTCCTTTAGGGGTGAGACTCCTGGTTATCAAGCTATCTGGGAATCATTACAGCCTCTCTCCATTTTCTTGTAGCTAAAACTGGCTCTGGAGGAGGCTCTCCATATGGACATGCTTGGTCTGAGATGTGGTCATGCCATTTTAGAGCAGGGTGTACCACCAGCAGCTCTGTCTACCCATTCTTTACAGGGATTTAGAATTTCCATCTGGGCTTGGAACTTGGTTTAAAGGGCCAGGAGCACACCTGCTCCTAAAAAAAAAATTAATATGAGTGCTCTGGGTAAGCTTGAAGACATTGTGAAGGTCCAAACAAGCCTGGCTAAGCAGCTGCTCTCTAACCACTTTCAAGGGCTGGTGAGGAAGGGATAAAAGGAGTTTGGATTTCCCTGGCCTCCTTTCATCAGAACATTACAAAGTGCTTTCAAACAGGGGGCCCAATTCTCTGTGCCCATCTCTTCCAGCTTAGGAGTGGGGATGTTGCAAGAGCAGCTGGAACGCTCATTTTGTTTGGGTCATTATGCAATGCAGAGGATTTGAGAGGAAGCATGCCTGGGTCCTGCATTTGCATTCTTCTGGTTTTAAACCAGGCTTTATTTTTTTCAGGTGAGTCTCCACAGCTTTGATAGGGGGGAGAGATCACTTCACCTGGAGCCTGGCATAGTTTAATTTTGTACAACATTCTTTGCATTGTCATTGCAATGCTCCATCTTCCATGTGGTGAAGAACCAGTGCAGCATTTTCCCTTCAGATGCCATGCTGCCATGGCACAGATTTGAAAGGTGCTGCTAGCTCTAACACAGAGCTGTTCCTACCAATCTCCACCCCCTTCTCCATGCTCCTGGTTTTTGTGAGGACATTGTCAGGAAGGTTCCCTGGTCACATCTAAACTGGTCCCAGCAGCCAGAGTGGTGGGTTGCACCATTTGGGTTTGATGAGGAATTTCCTTACTTCAAGGGGTGCTGTGGGGACAAATGGCTCTCCACTTCTGGGATGCTCAGGGCTCCTTTGCATTGCTCTGGGGATCCTGTCAGATCCACAAGGTTGGTGCATGAACCTATGGAACCTGTTCCTAAGGCTGTGAGGTGGGATATTGAAACTGCTGGAAATATATTTTAATTTTTATTTATTTGTCAGTCTTGCCACTTCTGACAATACCAGCTAATTTTAGCTCAGCAATGAAAATGGACTGGTTGTGGGTTGCACCCTGCAGGTTGCACCCAGTGGTCCTGGCACTGGACTTCCAAACAAGTTTGGCTTGTCTCTGAGCAATGGTCCTGTCTGACAGACACCCTTCAGGGCTGCGTTTGCCAGGGTGTAGGAGGGCCCCATGCTCTCTAGCTCCTCAGTGGTGATGGGCATTTCTGTCCTTTCCTAAGAAAGCCTCAAGTAAAATTACACCCCTGTCTTTCACAGCAGAACCTAACTCTAGGGAGGATGGACAGGAAGGAGATAAAACCACTCTGCATGCCAGGCTGTGAAGAACTGGATAAGCTCCAAATATGACCAACAGCAAGAGGCAGGTTTCTCTTTTGCAATGGCTTGATGTGACTCCATGAATCAAAACTGGACTTTTGCACTGAAGCAAAAAAGTGTTTATGTTACTCTGCTGAGAGCTACTGTCTGCTTGATTAATTCATCCTTGTAGATGTAGAGAAATGCATTATAACCACTTTCTTAAAATTATGAAATTGCTGAGCAAACCTGGAGGTTAACAGTTTCTAGGAGATTCTTCTGTATTTCTTTACAAGTGCAATGACACTGGCTCTTAAATAAAGCTTGAAAACTTGCAGTCATCCAAGGCTGCTTGAATGGTAGACTCTGCATATTCAGTGCAGGTAACCTTTGCCTTGCCTGCCCAGGGGTGTCTGTCCCCAACACCTGTGGGTGACCCCTGGCAGCATCCTCCAAGCTCTCTTGGAGCTGTTGCCATGGGCTGTTGCACTTCACAGCCAGGAAGCTGCCTTGCAGGATCTGGCTGGCTCAGCAGAACTGGAGCCAGTATTGTGCTTTCATGAAATTACTTGGGGAAAAGTAATTGAGTCTCTTGGCCAATGGAGAGCAGCCTTGGGTCTGTTGAAAGTTGGGTGAGATCAAACTAATCCTGTAGAAGGCTTTTTTTGTCACGTATTTGCAAATTCTGATCAAAACTTAAAACTCTTCAGATTTTCTGCAATGAGGTCTAGCCTAAAGCACTGCAGAAGTTGGCCTGCACTTGCCTCCCCTTGCAATAAGGCCTAGGTGCTGTACCTGAATCCAGGAGTAGGTTCTATTGTCTTATAAAGGAAGTAAAGGAAATTTCCTACACATTTTAAGCAGATTTCCAAAACACATGCTTTTCAGGCTCTTCCCAGCTTCCATCCTGCTCTCCCCCATTAAAAAGTGGAGATTTTGCCCCCACATGCTCAGAAAGCCAAAAAGCAGCACTGTCCCAGGACCAGCAGCTGGCCATCTCGCTGTCCACAAAGACTTGTGATGAGGAGGTAAGCCACCACCAGTGGCTGGGGCATGGGTGTTTGCAGGCTGCGCATGGTGTTAGATGCAGAGTCCAAGGGATGGGGGACAGGAAGTGTAGGCTCACCCCTGGGCTGAGGAGTGGAGGTATAGGCATAGCACTGCCTTCTCCTGGGTGACTCTCTCTGCAGCTGTTAATTGGAGGTGAATAGCAGGTGTGAAAAGCAGGTTTCAGCCAAGAGATGGTGCCCTATGACAGGAAGGACTGAGGCTGACAGCTGTATTTCTTCCAAGAAAGAGACCAGACAGGTTTTCAGGTGGTGACTTGTAAATCATAGTTTACAGTTAGAAAGGCAGGATGACTAATCCCAGCAGGGGGATGCCTGGTCCCTGGGAGGGCCAAGTCTGCTACAGAGCCAGCAGCTGGACAAGGGCAACCTTGCAGGTCTCCCACAAATCCTGACAGGAACATTCCCAAGTTGGCAGGCTTGAGGAACCATGGATGTGGTGGGCCCTACTAGCCTGGAGCTGTTGGAACACGGAGACTGGCACTAAGCCTAATGTGGGACACCGTGAGAAATCATGGGAGCTGTATGGCCTGCACGGAGCATCATCTGGCCTGCCAGACTGAGACATCTTTCATAGCTTCACTCACCCTGCTTGCTAGGAGAAAGCAGCAAAGATAAAACACTTCTCCATATCTGCAGGATGGCTCCTTGTAAGGAGCCATAACACTGGTCAGTAACTCTCTCTGCATGGATATATCTATGGAGACAGATAGATGCATGCAAGGGATGCATGGGGTTTTTCAGTGGATTTTTCACATTACAAACAAGCCTTTAGTTCCTCCCCAGAAGAAACTTGCCTGCATGAGCTGTCTCAATCCTTAGGACAATCCCAAGTGCTGATTGCTGACTGTCCCTGCACCCTCAGGAGGCACAGAAATGTGCTTGCTGACCCCTCCACAAGCAGGGGGGGAGTTTGCTGCCTCTCAGACAGGAGCAGAGCTGAATCATCTTCACAGTTCAAGGCTTGGACAAGCCTTTTGTGGCCTTGGCCGCTCAATCTTGTGCAAAGGTTGAGTATTTGCTGAGCAGGGTGAAGCTTCTGAGCCTGATTTCAGAATATCTATTGAGTGGTTTATCAGGGATGCCACTGGCCTGGGTCTGAAAGTTACCATCTTCAGGAAAATATTCCCGAAATGAGACAATACAATTTCACACTTGAAACTCATTTGTTTCAAAAAAAGAAACACCAGAGATCTCTGCTTTCCCCAGTGTATCTTCTCTGACCTACCTCAATTGAGTATTTGTCAATGACTGAAATTTCCACACCTTTCCATGGCAGGGAATCTTCTCCTCTCTCCTCCTGGCTGTATCTGCCAGATGCTATGGCTCTTTCAAATTCTCCTTGTCATTTCACCAATATTCTTCCTCATGAAAGTGTTGTCATAGTTTTTATTTAAGCAGGGCTTTCTGACATCCCCCACCTTTCCAAAGCTCCCTGAATTTGAGATTTACTTACTTGCCATCTTGCAGAGTGCATCAGCTGCAGCTGATTAAATTATGGGGCTTCAATCCTGATTTCAGTACTTCAGATGGGGAAAAAAGCTTTCGGTCAGTTTTCTCCTAAATCAGTGACTCTTAAAAGGGAGTCTGTTGTGCAAGTGACTTGCCTGGATTTAAAGGCAGGAGAAAAGAAATACACAAGGCCATGTGAAGCAAGAAGACAGAACTTAAACAAATGGTGTGGGCAGCACCTCTCCTCTTGAAACATTCTTTGCCCAGTCTTCGAAAAGGAAGAAAACATGCTATTGTTTGGATTTGTTTTCCACAAACAGGGCTGTTTTGAGGCTGCATGTGAGACTTAAATTATAATCTAGACCTCTGCATAGCAATTGAGATGTGATGTCATGATGGAGGATCTGCATTGAGGCTTTGTAGAGAGCAGGAGCTGTTTATTGCATTCCTCCTGCAGTGCCTGTCTAGCTCTCTGTGCAGGTAGACAAAGGCTTTGGTTGCAGATTTTACCACTTCAGCCCAGGGAAACAAAGTTTGGAGCAAAGTTCTTGTTAATGACCAGACAAAGTGCTAGAGTCAGGTTTCCATGGGGACCATGGGATGCTGCAGATGTGTTTGATTCCTGACAACCTTGATGCTCCACTGCCCTGAGAAACGTGAGATGGAAGCACCTCTGAGTGCTGATGAGGGCAGAGTGTGTTTCCCAGCTCTTACCTAACTCTTCATCTGCCCAGAGAGGGGAAGGGGATAAGATATTCCTACCTGGTATTCCTGAGTGTGGTGTGATGAGATGCCATGTGAAAGCCTCAAAGTTGAGGTCCTTTGGCAAAGGCACTTCCTTAAATCCTTGCCTCAACCTCTGGATCCTGAACCAGGGATCAGGATGGGAGCTTCCTCCCCCATCAAAAACCTTGTCTTTTGGAAAGCAGTGATAGTTCTCCTGGATGAGTAACAAACTAGTAGCATGATGGGGCCACAGCATTTTAGGCACAGTTGCCTCCATCTCCACAGAGGGGCTGGCAAACGTAGGCCAAGGAGGGGTGATAGGATACAGGACCTGTCAAGGGGGAGAGAGGCCAGAGCACTGTTCTGGATAGTTTCATCTTATTTGTCTGCATTGCAAAACAAATCACCAGACCTGTTATTGGAGAGCTGTACCTATCTTTGAAGCATCCTTGGCCTTTGTTTTGTAGTCCTAAATAGCATTAAATGTGAGTTGGGAAGGCACCTTATCAGGTGCATCTTCTTGGAAAAGCTTGAAAGGCTTTTGTCACACTTTCCTTTATGTGTGCTTTGAATCTCAAGCTGGAAAATATATTAGAAAAGGAGATGATGCCCCATCCTGAGCAGAGCTGATAATAATTTGGGTGCTACACTGTGTCACAGAACTCTTTCACCAATGTGTCTGCACTCAAAGCAGGCACTGACTCATCTGTAGGACCAGTCTCACAGCTTTGAAGGAGCTGCTTGCCTGCCATGATAAATGCCAGGCAGAGGGGAAAGCCAAATCAGCACAAGGGGTTGGTGCTGGAGATAGATTCTGATTTTCTTGGTTTCCAGGCTCAAAGCTGATCAATAACCCATATTGTCTTGAGCTGAATCTTACTACTCTGCTGTGTGTCATCTTCCCTTTGCCCAAACTAGAATGATGGCTGGACTTGGGAGGAGACAGCTGTTACAGACACCCTGTGTGTGCTCAGCATTCAACATCCTTAAAGTTTCCAGCGGTGGTTTGGTGCCTTCACCCCAGGTCAGCCACGTGCAACAATATGTGAGAACAGCAGTTGTTGCACTCCATGTCTGGGACTGCACTGCAGGGCTGGGGACACCCATTGCGTGGTGTGCGGGCCAGCAGAAACGTGACAGTCCCGACTTTGGCCACAGTGGGTTTTTCAAGGCACCTGTGTGCATCAGGTCCTGTCTTCTGCAAACAGTGCAGTCCCCTTGGAGGAGCAGGAAGCCTTGGGCAAAGATGATTTGCTGGTATAAAGGCTTTAACAGCACTTGGCTCTGAAACCCCAGCAGTCTGCCTCTTCCCACTGTCAGAGAAGCATTGCTTCCATGATCACACAGAGGGAAAACTGAATACTTTTGACATCTTGCCATGCAGACTCCCCATGGACACCATGAGCCAAGACAGCTTTCTCCCTGGCTCCCACAGCCAGCACCCCCCCCAGTTGTGAGCATAAAACCAAGCTGGTGAATAATTCTGCTGATGCACAGAAGAGAAAATCTTGTTCTCTCCTCCTGGGGCAGACTGGCAGGGTTAATGGGAGGAAGAGGCTGTGACAACTTGATTTTGTGGCTGAAGTCAGCAGATCTGGCTCCTGGGACACATGGGAACAGGCAGGGAGTAGGAGCCACTTTTGCACAGTCACTTCTCGGAGACAAGCAGTGCTTCAAAAGAAAAATCCTTTGCAGGATGTTGCAACTTGGGAGGAGGAGTTAAAAAAACACACAAACCAAAAAACCCACAAGTTCTGTAGGGCTGGGAAATGCAGAGTCAAGGAATGAAGTTTCCAAAAAGCTCAGTACTTGCAGCTCTTGGTGCAGACAAGGCAGCAATGTGAGACAATGCTGGTAATTCCCAAGGACACTAAAGCTCATTGTGGTTAGTGGACGGGTGCAAATGTGAGTTACACCTGTCCTGTGCAGGGGCCCCTCCATGTCCACAGCAGTCAGGGCTCCACTATGGCAGGGTCATCTGAAGTGGCTACCAGCAGCCACAGAAAGGAGGGAGCCTCATATATGCACCTGCCAACACAGTCACTAACAGTTGTAGAGGATATTGGATTATCACACAGCCTCATTGGAAAATCTGACTGGATCTATCTTAAGCTCCTTCTGTGTTCCAGAGGTTGGGGCAGGAAGATGAAACTGGGAAATGGGCAAGCATGGACACCATGCCCACAACACAACAAGGGGTGGGAGGTTGAGTTACTGGGATGTGCAGCAGGGATCATCATGTCCACACACTGGACAAAGAAATGCTGAGAGCTTTTGAGGTGCTTGCTCTTCAAGGTGTTTGCTCCCTCATTTTTCTAATACTGACACCCAAGAGCAGCTCTGTGACTTTTACTGCTAAGGATGGTGCTATGGAAAGCAGAACACATGGTCCCCTCCACACAGGGCCAGTCTTTTCCAGATCAGCAAAGACAGACCTCATGGCCCTGTTCACAAGCTGGACTGGTGGAGGAAGTGCCCAGCCTGTGCAATTTTGCCCTGGCAGGCTCCTGATTCTGCTTCCCTGCTTCAAACCCTGCTTGAATCCCAAGTGACAGGAAACCTGGCAGCTCCCAGAGGCCATCCCTGCCTGCTGGGGTCTGGGGCAGCTAAAAGCAGCCTCCAGGAGGGAAGTGGTTTGGGGGGCAATGTTTGCCAGTTATGAGCACACAGCCACGCTGTGGGAGCACTGTGGCAGATGGAGCTGGCAGCCAAGTGCCTGTCCTGCTTGTTTTGGCTGACTTCGGAGACCTCTGGCTTTTCCTAGTAGCACTTGGATATTCCGATACTCGGGAGACCTGACCAGGCACATTCAGACAGTGCTGAAAATATCTTCCTTGCAGGCAACAGAGGAAAAGGGGAGCCAACAGCTGGACTCCCCAAGAGAAAGGAACTAGGCTGCAGAGGGATGGTTGTTTTGCTTGGGCTTGTTCTCTGTCAGCCAGAAATGCATCATGCAGAGCTGCTGCTGTGGTACATTTAAAGGTGACCCCCAGATGGGCAGCAGGTCTCAGCTATGGAGGGGGTAAGAGGTTCAGTCTCCTTGTCTTCTGGAAGGCTAAACGTGGGTCCCAGCTGAATATGGGCTCCCCCAGCCCTTGCCTCTTAACCTGTTGTGCTGGTGTCATGGCAGGTACCTGGCAAAGCTGTCTTCAGTGGGGAGCATCTCTGAGGAGGAGACCTGTGAGAAGCTGAAGGGCTTGATCCAGCGCCAGGTGCAGATGTGCAAGAGGAACCTGGAGGTGATGGACTCGGTGCGACGCGGAGCCCAGCTGGCCATTGAGGAGTGCCAGTACCAATTCCGCAACCGCCGCTGGAACTGCTCCACGCTGGACACCCTGCCTGTCTTTGGCAAGGTGGTGACGCAAGGTGAGCTGGAAGGACGTGTCTGGGGTGGTGCTGCTGGGGGAATGGCTATAAAAGCAGTCTGGTGGGCTGCAGGTGGGATTTTGTCTGCTTTCCCCTGAACCGGTGGCTGGGGAAGGTCAGGAATGGCCTGCCCAGTGATGGATCATGGGGTGGACAGGTCCCTGTGCACTTCAGCGGGGGTCTATTCAGTATGTTTGGTACAGCATATTCAGACTCATGCTGATCCTCAGCTCTTCTGAACCTTTTCCACACCCATTGACAAGGACATGCCAAGTTTGAACAAAGGTCCTAAAGTCACCCTGGTCTCATCTCTTCCCCACCAAACCCAGGAGCTCCACTCCATAAAGCCATGAGTGCATTTACTCAGTCTCTTTTCTGGGCAGTGCTGAAGCAGTGGCTGCTGCCAGGCTGGCACATGGCCACTCTTGAGCAGAGCATCAATGGGGGCACCGTCAGGAGGATGGCTCAGTGCCGCCTGGCATGGGAAGAACATGTGGCAGTATCATCCCCTGCCACCAGCCTTCAGGGCTGGATATGGCTAGAGCAGCCCCCAGCCCCTCTGATCCCAGCTGCACCCTGACTTTCCAGAAGCACAGGACTGTAATCAAACCAGAGAACTGGAGTGAGGATACAGCGGGGAAAACCCCTCTGCAACCCCTTAAGATCACTGAAGCATCCCTTGCCTCCCCTCAGATGCTATTTCTGAGGTACTATCTCACCTCCCATCCCAGGACCCCTAGACCAAAGCATCCCCCTGGCTCCTTATTTGACTTTCCTCCCCTCAATGCAGGGATGAAGATCTCTTCTTGTGAAGGTTCAGGGACTGGAAATACCAGAAATACCAGAAACTAAAAGTCGTCTCTTTTTAGGCAGCCACAGCACAAACCGACCAACATGATCCTACTATTAACCTCGATTAACTTGGAGGCAGTTCAGTCCCACACTGGCTGGGTCCTCCCCAGCCACTGCCAGCTGGGCCACCAAAGTCTGGGATGCGACCACCAAAGTAGCTGCCCTCTGACTGGCAAGCTGAGTGATGCCTGCTCACAAGCCATTGCCCCTCTGTACCAAACATGGGACCACCCCAAATACCAGCCCTCCTTGCTCAGAAATGCAGGGCTTGTGCCCTCAACCAGCCTCGGAGGATAGTGGGGATTGTGTGTTGCTGAAGCTGATCCCTGCTCCTGCCACTTTGTGTGTTCATGCCCAGGGATGCGATAACTTGCAAAACAAGCTTTTCTCAACCATGTGGCACCACATAGGTAGACACAAAAGCTGGGACTGCACTGCACCCTGGACACTGGTGGGGTTGTGTGAGGTGCTTTGGCAGCAGAAGAGGGTTTTGCAGGGTAGTTTGGGAGGCACTGTGAGCTACATGACCCTGTGAAAGACAATGGCAAGGATGTGCAGGGAATGTTCCTGGATGTGGAAAGCAGACAGCTATTTTGGATGCAGGAAAGATTTCACGGCAGAGCTGCCTTGCAAGCACAAGGCAAGACAGTCTTCCATGTAAGCTCTAGAGAGCTCTGCCCACATTGGCAGTGCAGCCTCTGTCTCTCCTAGTGCCAGGTTTTACCATTCACCCATCATTCATGTTTTTAACGTTGTGGGGCAGTTCCCAGCTTCTTCACTTCTGCAAAAATGGGCCCTCACTTCTGCAAAATATCTCCCAGCACCCAGGGGTCTCTGATGAGTCAGGTCCAGGCTTGGCACTAAGCAAACAGCATCCCTGAGGGTGGGGACAATGAGGGTCCTGCACATGCTGCCTCTATTTTAGGAGGAAGTGACAGAGCAAAGGGTTTAGCCTGATAGCTCTGTGTAGCATGTTTTGCCAAGAGCTGTCTTTCAGACCAGCTTTTCAGGGGAGTTTATGTGCCATACCAGAGTTAAGAGGGGAGAGGAGAAGAGACACATGTGGCAGTCTACCAAGAGCCTTTGGCCACCGGGCTGCATTACCTCCAGAATTCCCACTCGTGTTGCCTCAGACTTTCTGCCACCTTTCCCACCATGGTTTGTGCCATTGCAGGGACACGAGAGGCAGCGTTCGTCTATGCCATCTCTTCAGCAGGGGTGGCCTTCGCTGTGACCCGCGCCTGCAGCAGTGGCGAGCTGGACAAGTGTGGATGTGACCGCACAGTGCAAGGGGGCAGCCCACAGGGTGAGTGTCTGAACAGGGAGCAGCTGCAGCTGCATGGGGACGCAAAGTAGCCAAAATATCTGCAATTCAAACCCACTCTCTGGAGCCATCCAGAAAAGAGGGAAAAGTTTAAAAAAACCAAAATGCTGGTTAGTCCATGTAACTGCCTCAAAAAGACACCTGGGTGCATCCTGGACTGAAAACATCTTGTCCCAGGACCACACTCCCTAGCTTCCCATGTTCCCATGTGGCGCAGACTAGTAGGTAGCAAGACAGAGAGAGGGCAGGCCAGCTGGATTTTAGGGAAAGCAGGGCTGGAGAGTTCAAGCACTACAGGGTGGCAGTACCTGTCTCATCTGCGCTCTCTGCCTCAGGTTTCCAGTGGTCGGGCTGCTCTGATAACATCGCCTACGGTGTGGCCTTCTCGCAGTCCTTCATCGATGTCCGTGAGAGGAGCAAAGGGGCCTCTTCCAACAGAGCATTAATGAACCTCCACAACAACGAGGCAGGGAGGAAGGTAAGGGCAAGGAGAAAACCTAGGCAGCTGGCACCACTCTGCAGCATCCCAGCCAGGCTTTGCAGCCATGGCTTGAGCCATTTGGGCTTCTTTTAATCCCATACCCACCCAGCAGTGTTTTCTGCACAGCCCTCCCAGGCCCTATCCATTGCACCCTCCCTGCTACGTCCATCCTGCACTGATCATCCCATCTTGTTCCTTGTGTCTGTTCCTCCAGGCAATCCTGAACAACATGCGGGTGGAATGTAAGTGTCACGGTGTGTCAGGCTCATGCGAGTTCAAGACATGCTGGAAAGCCATGCCCCCCTTCCGCAAAGTGGGCAACGTCCTGAAGGAGAAATTTGATGGTGCCACAGAGGTCGAACAGAGCGAGATTGGATCCACCAAAGTGCTGGTGCCCAAAAACTCCCAGTTCAAGCCACACACAGACGAGGACCTCGTCTACCTAGACTCCAGTCCTGACTTCTGTGACCATGACCTCAAGAATGGGGTCCTGGGCACCAGTGGGCGGCAGTGCAACAAGACCTCCAAGGCCATCGATGGCTGCGAGCTGATGTGTTGCGGCCGTGGCTTTCACACGGACGAAGTGGAGGTTGTGGAAAGGTGCAGCTGCAAATTCCACTGGTGCTGCTCCGTCAAGTGCAAACCCTGCCATCGGGTGGTGGAGATCCACACATGCCGGTGATGCACAGGGGAGCGCGCCCACCTGTATCCTCTTTAACTGACCCTGCTTCTCCCTTGCCCCACAGCCAGGACTGAGGAAGTGACAATGATACTGCTGGGAGAGCACAGCTCTTTACAGAGACAGAACCACAGAGAAAAACAGATTTTAAAGAAAAAAATATTTAAAGTTTAAAAAACCTGATCACTGTTGGCTTTTTTATTTTGTTTTGTCTGCTTTGCTGTATGTATTGCTGAAGCCAGAGCCCCTTGGTGTCCTGTGCTGGCAGACATGTTTGCTCTCTGGCTGTCTGGGAACCTGTGTGATGCCAGCTCTGTCGGATGGGCTCCTCCTGCTTTTGGAGTGCTGCAGACAAGAAGTGTTTAAGGCAACGGTAGTACAACATTTGAAATCTTCTATTGTAGGTATTTTTGTTTGTTTAAAGGCACGTGCTGAGCATCCTGGAGCACCACTGGCCTGGCTAAGCCTCAGGAAGGGAAAGAGCACAGCCAGCCTGTGCAGCCAGGTGCATGGCAAGGGACAGGCAGGTGGTGACAGGGTGGCACTGTCCTCCAAGAGTTAAGTTCCATGTGGAGCCCATCCAGGGTGTTCAGTTCATGAGGGCAATGTGAGACACTCCTGCACCTCCTTGTTGTGGGATGCTCGAAGGCCTCCTGAGAATGGATGGATTTTGGAGCAGCTCCAGGGACTGCTCTGATTTACAGAAGCTCCTCAGTGGCTGCCTAGGGCTATCGGAGGACACAATGGTCCCACCATGCTCCCTTTCCCCCAACTCTTCTCCAGTACCTGGTTCCACTGGAGACAATGAAGGGCAGTGATACCTGCAATCCACTGACACTTAATGGAGCTGAGAGCTGATGGGAGAAAACCCAAGTTGATTTCTTCTCCTCTGAATCATAATTGCCCACATCTCGCAGGCGTCCCACAACAGGTCTCCTCTTTCTCCTCCATGTGCCTGTTCTCCTCACTCAGGAAGACACTGGGGGACAGTCCCTATCCTGATGAAGGCTGAGAAAAGCAAAAGTATAAAGTAGAGCAGTTGGGGGTGGAGGAATGCTGGTGCTCTGCCACTATCACTGTGTCACCCTTAGGAAGCATCAAGAGAAGGACTCAGCCAGAGGAATGCTGCCATGTGTGCCCTGAAATCACAGAGATCTAGTGCAACAGGGCCCCAGCTGTCCTGTCCTGCTCCCTGGGACACTGCATGAGGACAAGGCACTGTCCTGCCTGCTCTGGCTTCCCTCTGCCTAGGAGTGGGTTAGTGCAGAGTCCTTGCTGTTGGGCTGCAATACAAAATATTTGGAGAACTAATAAGCAGAGGGGCACTGTGAGGGAAGGTGTAAAGTGAACCAGTTCCTCTTCCCTCACCCAGTGGTCCATGAGTCAAGAAGTAAAAGGGAAGCAGAGAAAAACCTCAAAATGACACCTCAAGACAACAGGTGAGGCTCAGCATTGCCAAGCCCTCCTGTGTAGGAGGGAGCTCCCTGCATGGTCCAGGAAAGCCCAGGGTGGCCATCACCCTCCCAGCTGAAGGAGGGGGTCCCTGCAAAACCTGCAGTCTTCTTGTTCTTCCTTGAGAGGGAAAAGGTTGGAGGAATGCACAGGCATATGTGAAATCCCATCTGTGCCATGGCAGCAATGGGCTGGGGGAGAGCCTGTGGTCACTGGAAGGCCTCCAGACACCATCTGCTGACAACTGACTTGAAGCAGTGCAGGATGAGGGAGGTTTGCATTAGGGCAAACCCCAGCTGCCTCTCTCCTGCCTGCTCAGCACCAATTCCAATAAACCTCCAGCAAAATGTGCCAGATGGTGGGGAGGGACACCCTAGGTGGGTCCTGAGGTGGAGCACCGTGGGTGGGTCCATTTCAGTGCAAACCAGAGATCTCCTCACCAGAGCAAGGTCTGCCTCTCTCAGTTGGCTCAGTTGGCCAAGGGTACAGCATTAAATCCCTGCAGAGGGGGCAGGGGTGGGGGAATCTAAGCTTTGCCTCCCATGGTTCCATCTCATCAGCCCTCCAAGGCTGCAAATCCTCAAATACCTTGGAGACAGTTCTTCCCTTTCCAGCTCATGCAGAGGAGGTCACAGACCTCAGGCCATTGCCCAAGTCTTCTGCTCCTTGTCCATCTAGGATGAGGGCCAAAGCTGAACAAGATAATTCAAATCAGCATGGAGATAATCTCATGGGATTTTTTCAGGCTGCAATGAAAGCTAAGCCCTACAAATGCCACCCAGGGTTAGTTTGGCTCTGCAGCACTCTGGTTCTTCTCATAAGTGTAAGTTTCAACACCACAGCAGGGTTTAGAAATGTGTTTTCATATTTACTTTGTCTATTAAATGATAAGTTTGTGCTGAACAAGCCATGGGGTTTTCCTGTCCTGAAATCAGCTCCACTGGGCTATGTAAAACCATAATGTGCTGCAGACACCTTATGGTTGCTGGTGTCCTCCCAAGAGTCCTTAGCTAGGAAGAGAGGTGCCCACGTGGTCCCTCCTGACAACGCAAAGAGAACACTAAAGCTCTCTTTGTACCTCCTCCAGTCTCTCCTCAGGAGATGCTGGTGTTTGGACCACAGACAGCACCCCTGCTTTCCCATCAGTGGAAATAGAGCTTACTTCTGCCTTAACCACTTGACACACCACTGGCTTAAGAGACAAGTTTTAGATCTCAGTAAGTCTGTGACTTCCTCCTGTGGAGAGGGCATCAATATCCATCTGCTTAGAACAGTGCTCCCCTGTCCTGCCCACAGCCAAGGAGCCACAGCTACCTTGCGTGCTGCTGGAAACATCCTGCCAGTGGGCTCGAGGTGCATTTGAGCTAGGAAGGGGCAAGAACTGCCCACAGATGCCAAGTCAGGGACCTGCTGCCTTTTGCCTCCATTGCTGTGATGCAGTTTGCTGGATTTGGAGTGGATGTAGTGCCTGATACCCAAGTATGCTCCAAGCTGCCCACAGAGTGCATTTTACTTGTCCCTTGTCCTTCCTCCAAGCCAGAAGCATTGGCTAAATCCTTTTCACACTGTTCCTGACAGTCTGAAGCTTCTTGCTTCAGCAGGGGTTGCTGCTGCATCCAGCTGTACACCGTGCCTCATCTCCTTTCTTTAGCTGTAGCCCTCCATTTGCGTGCTCTCAAAGCTCACCTTTTCATAGGCTCATGGTAAAACCAATGTCTTCTCTCCCTTCAGCCTCTCTGGTGGCAGGGTTTAATAGATATTTTGTTAAGTTTAACTTGTTGCAGAAAGAGCATGGTAGGATGGGAGAAAATTATGCCTGAGCCTCCCAAAAACCCTTACTTCCAACAGCTTCTTTCTTCCCCTGGTGGATCCTACTCCTCCAGCACTTCTTTTCCGCACTGCAGCTTCAGCCTCAGGTAAGGAATTGTCTCCAGTGAAAAAAAAAGATGCCTCACTCTTCTCCTGAAACAAGGTGTACTGAGACACTAGCTTCTCTGTGACCATAGACAGATCAAGATATCTGTGTTCTCCTCTTCCAATGCCCTCCACCTATTCCGCCTGTCCCCTGCATCCCACATGCATCAGACCACATCACACTATCCCTCTCCCCACCACTGCATCCTGCCACAGGCTCAGCCCCATTCCAGCTGCACAGGCCCAGCACTAGGTCCTCATCCTCAGTCCCCCAACACCTTCTCCTTAGTAAGCTCATCCCTCCTCTGAGAGCTCAGGGGCTGACCTCTCCCCCTCATAAACCTTCCTGGATGTCCCACTGCCAACTCGAGATCATTATAGCAAAAATGGGACATCACCTCCAAGTCCTCTCCACCCTGCTCCAAAGGGTAAATTCATTACTTTTTTCCCATTCCCCAAACTCACAACTTTACCACTATAATCTGCTTCTTCTGTTTTCTTTGCCTTTTCTACTGGAAAATCCACCTAGGTGTCGGGAACCTTCAGCCTCAGCTATTTCAAACTCTGGGCTTCACATTTCCCAACTCTCCATCCCGGATCCAGTCCAAGCCCGGCACAGCCAAGCACATGTGCAGAGCTGGTATTTTTCTCCAGCTGTTTTGACCACATCACGGTCATGTCCTTTACCAGGCAAGGACACTTCCATCACTCCCAACTATCTCATTCTCCCTCCCTAGGCACATTCAGCCCCACCCACTGCTCCTTGCAAAGCAATTAAATCACTGTGGGTGACATTAATGATGCTGACGGAGCATAAGTTAGCACTCGTATCCTTTCCCTCCCTCACACCATCAGTGAACATTACAGCAAATCCCTTTGCATATTCCTTCAGCAATGAGCACAGTAATTCTCCTGCATCTCCTTCTCTCCCTTTATACACATGACTTTACCAGCTGGCTGTAGGGCTGTAGGTGATGGAGACAGTAGGGAAGAAGTGTGTAGGACTACCAAAGAGATACGTCAAGGACAGAATGGTGTCTCGCTGCATGGGCAGGTAAAGAAGAGGATCAGTCCTCCTTAGAGTTGCCACACCACACACATCATGCCACCTGTAATTGGGCATGATGGGCCTCACATCAGTCTGGCACAGGAGAACCCACACTGGGGTGACCATCACTTCCATCTGCACTTGCTGAAGATGTCACTGGTGCCTTGGCCGTGCAGTGCGTCCTTCAGCAGCACTAGGCTGTTGCACAAGGCCATGCTGAAGGACAGACACCCAGCAGAAGCAGAGCCTTTGACAGCAGCATGATACCGTGACAACAGGAGGGCACCCAGCCAGCACTCCTCAGAGAGGCCTCCCAACCCTGACTGCCAAAATCCTGCTTTAAGCACAGGAAAATAAATTGTGCAACCTACCTTGGACTGAATTGTAACACTCTGTGTGGGTGGAGGAGAGAAAGGGGCAGGAGCTGGGCTGAGGATTAGGCCCTGCATCACAACATTTAGGCTGGACCACACACACCTGGAGCTCGAGCAGCACCTGCACCAGGCTCTGCCTTTCTCATCCCTCACAGGTATGTCCAGGGTGTTTCTGCAGCCACCAAGCTCCTTACCAGGGATCCAGAGATGCAGCCATATGCAAGTACCATCCTTGTGCCTGTGTTCAGTCCTCAGGAGCTATGATCTCTCCTAGGCTGGCTTCCAGACCTGGCAACACATTCCTTCTCCCATCCCAGATCTGACCATCAGTATTTTCTCAAGTGCATGTGCAAGGAGCATTGCCTAGGTGAGCTCCATACCACTGT